TATAATTGTTGTGGGAATTTGGCACTTCACACAGAGATGGGAGCAGGGTTGTCATACAGGAGGTACATTCTGGAACTCTTGTATAATTTTTCAGTGGTCGGGGAAACTGGAGCACTTGGAGGAAACCTACGCAGACACAGAAGGGGCCTTCAAACTCCACAGGGAAAGGTCTGGAGGTGGAATTGAACCCAGGTTCTTCTCACTGTGAAGCACAAACGCTAACCACTACGCCGCCATGTCAATCAATTAATTAACACAAAGCGCTTCACAGCGCAAACAGAACAGTCTTTAACCTGGATTTGAACATTGACAGAGTAGACGCCTCTCTCACATTTTCAGGGAGATTGTTCCAGATTTTAGCTACATGGATCTGAAACGCAGCCTCCCTATGTTTGGTTCTCACTCTGGGCACCAGCAGGAGGCCAGTCGCTGTGCTCCTCAGAGTCCGGGCCGGTTCATATGGCACCAACATGTCACTAATGTATTTTGGTGCAAGGCCATGGATAGACTTGTACACAAGAGCTGTTTTAAAATCTATTCTCTGAGCCACAGGAACCCAGTGCAGAGACCTGCGAACTGGACTAATATGGTCGTATTTCCTGGTTCTAGTCAGGACTCGAGCCGCTGCATTTTGTATGTACTGCAGCTGTTTTACAGCCTGTTTGGACATACCTGTGAGCAGGCCATTGCAGTACTCTAACGTGCTGGAGACAAATGCATGGACAAGAATCTCCAAGTCTGATTTGGACACTATATTTCTAACTTTGGAATGTTCTTCAGATGGTATAAAGCTGTTGATGTTATTGATTTTATGTGGCTATTAAAATTTAGGTCTGAGTCCAATATTACACCTACATTTCTCACCTTGTCTGAAGGCAGTAGGGAGAGAGACAGAAGTTGACAAATGACGCCCTCTCTTTGTTTCTGGGGACCAAAGACAATGATTTCGGTTTTGTCTGCGTTTAGCTGGAGGAAATTATTATGCATCCAGTCACTGATTTGTTGGATACAGTGAAGGAGCAAATCCAGTGGTCCATGTTCTCCTGCAGTCAGTGAAACATAGATCTGAGTGCCGTCAGCGTAATTGTAGGACACTTTGTTTCTTTGTATTAACTGACCTAATGGGAGCATGTAGAAATTAAATAGGAGAGGTCCCAGGATCGACCCCTGTGGTACTCCACAGGTCAGGGCCACATGATCTGAGACGCAGTCTCCAATCTCCTCAAAGTACTTCCTATCTTCCAGGTAAGACCTAAACCAGTTTAGGGCTGTGCCAATGACACCAACCCAGTCCTCTAGTCTCTGCATGAGGCTCTCATGGTCGACAGTGTCGAACGCGACACCAAGATCCAACATGACTAAAACTGTGACTTTACCTGCATCAGAGTGAAGTCGAATGTCGTTTGTTACCTTCACTAGAGTGTGTCTCAGTGCTGTGGTGGGGTCTAAACCCAGAGTGGAACATATCAAAAGAAATATTCATTGTTAAAAATTCAGCAAGTTGTTGGGAGGCCACTTTTTCAAGAAATTTACCAATGAATAGCAGATTTGATATGGGGCGGTAATTTTAAAGATCCAGACTTCTCTTTTTTAGGAGAGGTCTTATGACTGCTGTTTTTAGGGCATGACGACAGTGAAGGTAACAAACTGCCCAGGACGGACTTCAGAAATTTAGAGGGTAATATATCCAGGCTACATGTGGAGGAGCTCAGACTCATGATTATCTTTTTGACTGTTTCAGTATCCACAGGTGCAAAGTGAGTTAGCTCAAAAAGCTTCTCTGGCTTTTGCATTGTTATACGTGCTGTGGAGGTGATAGTGTTTTTGATTCCTTGTACTTTGTCATCAAAAAACTGTTCAAACTCTTTACACCTAGATTTAGAGGTAAATTCTAGGGGCAACTTTACAGGGGGGTTTGTTAATCTACCAACTGTTGAAAACATAACACGAAGATTGTTACTGCAACCTCCAATAATGTCAGAAAAATACATATCTCTTGTTCTACGTAGAACCCGGTTAAATTCACCCAACTCATCTTTAAAGACGATCGCCCTGGAGGTTGGACTTTCGCCACTTCCGCTTGGCCCTCCGGCACTCTCGCTTCTGTGCCCTGAGCGAGTCTGCCCTAGTCCATGGGGCCTTTTTCTTACTGGTAACCATTTTAACCGTCACAGGAGCAATGGCGTCCAGAACAGTCAGAACACTGGTGGTGACAGAGTTAAACAATTCATCAACAGTAGATCATGGAGTGTTCTCAAAATTTAGCATTCCCATGAACAGTTCACTTGTGTTTTCATGTATGTGTCTTCTTCTAACAATTGTGGATTCAGCTGGTGGTTTGCTAGCTAAACACATGTCAAAAAATACACAGAAATGATCTGACAAAGCAAAATCAACTACATTAACATTTGGTACATTAACCCCCTTTGTAATTAGCAGGTCAAGAGTGTGCCCTCTGCTGTGAGTGGGGCCACTCACGTGCTGAATGAAACCAAAGGTCTCAAATACAGAAGCCAGCTCCTTTGCATTTCTGTCATCAACATTATCAACATGTACATTAAAATCACCTGTAATAACTAAACTATCAATTCTGAAAGTAGTTCAGTAAAATGGTCAATAAAATCGCAACATGACCTGGTGGCCTGTACAGGACAATGAAAAGAATAGAAGATTGCTTTTGTTCCATTTTAAAAGAAACTTACTCAAACGATGAACAATTTCCAAGGGACATTCTATGGGAGACAAAGTGGTCTCTAAAAACTGCAGCTATGCCTCCCCCCCTTTTGTTTTCTCGTATTTCGGATTCAAATTTAAAATTGAGTGGTGTTGCTTCTATTAAAACTACATTTCCTGTATTTTGGTCAAGCCATGTTTTAGCCATAAGCATAAGATCAAGATCATACGAAGTGATAAAATTATTAATTAAAAATGATTTGTTACATGGAGATCTGACATTAAGCATAGCAAGTTTAAAAATAACATCAGAGTCAATTAATGTGGTTGATTGATTTCTACAGGGAACAGAAATTAGATTTGCCGAGTTGGACCGTCTCTAACTGCTGTCCTGTTATGATTTCGTTTTTTAGAATTTAGAACATTTTTGAGCTGGTGCGAGGAACACACGCAGTCTCAATTGGCCTAAAATGTGAAAAACCTTGTTGTTGTTGTTTAGCTCCCAGAGTCAGAAGGGAGTCAGCACAGTTCAGTGTTTGGACTGGTAATACACTGCCAGACGGACAGGGAGCAGTGTTAGCACCGTTGTACGCTGGTGAGGAGGAGGCGGGGGAGTGCGGTGGGGTCCGAGGGGGCTCAAATGTAAACAGTCACGCCCCCCTCGGGGAACGCTGAACAACATGACGCATGTAGTCCATCAACAGGCTGCTACCATATCTGTTTGGGTGTAATCCATCTGGACGAAAAGCTTCATAACGTTTCCAGAAAAGGGCAAAGTTATGTCACCTTTAACCAAACTAACCCAACCACCAAAAATAAGGCTGCACAATTTGGAAAAAATATCAAATTGTGATTTTTGTTCTTCTTTCAATTTTATTTCTTGAATATTCAGATATCAGATCAGAGGTCAGGTTACACACAAGTAAGCATGCATAAAACAAACAACTGGTGAGTCCAATGTGAAAAATTATTACAAGCATAACACTGGTTCAGTTGGGACAGCGTTGAGGGCCAATGGTTGGATCCCCCACGTAACACTAACACCTGTCTCACTGTTGTCATTGTGTCTCTTAAGTAAGTAAGTAAGTAAGTTTTTATTTATATACCGCCTTTTCACTGCAGATCTGAGTCTCAAAGCGGTTTACAATTGTTCATTTTTGGGCATTTGTCTCTCACTCCACACAGAGATGGGAGCGGGGCCTGTACAGGAGGCGCATGCTAGAACTATTGGACATATTTTTAGTGGTAGGGGAAACCGGAGTACCCGGAGGAAACCTACGCAGACACGGGGAGAACATGCAAACTCCACTCAGAAAGGCCCTGGTCCGACCGGGATTCGAACCCAAGACCTTCTTGCTGAGAGGCGAGAGTGCTATCCACTCAGCCACCGTGCCGCCCCACTTAACCCCACTCTTCCTGAAGTCTCCACTGACAAAGGCCGTGTCGTTGCTAACAAAGCAGCCATCCTCCTGTGGATCTGCTGGCGGATCACTGGCAGCTGAACGCCACCCCAAAAAATGGACTAAAGAGATAAAAATGAACGAATGACCTGAACTTTAATACAAAAGTTATAGTACTGGTAATATGAAGACAAGGACAAAATGTAAAAAAAAAAAAACAAAACAAAAAAATTGAAATCAGTCGTTTAGTAACTTTTTTTTAACTTTATTTGAGAACAAAAGATTTTACAATGGAAGTTGGAACAAGTATTTCAAAACAGTTTGAGGTTAATTGTCTATAGACAATTGTTCAATTCAAAGATTTAAAAAAAAAAATTAAATTATACTAAAATCAACAAATATTAATTCATATTTTATCCAATATTTATTTCTTGTCTTTGTAATTTGTGGGTCCCCTCCTAAAGGGACTTAAACAACTGCAGTCTTTGCGATTTGCTAACTATTTATACTAAAATGGCAAGATACACGGTTGTAAATATCAGAAATATTGTGCCCCGACCCTGAAATGGAAAATAAAGAGGTAGAAAATAAATGAATGAAAGCTCAAGAACATATTATCTTTGGATGATTTTAACAAATTTCAGCTTGACTAAAGCAATAACTATCTTGAGGAAGCGAATAAGCTGTGTGTGGTGTTAAATGAAATGAGTCGACCAGTAAATTCTTCTCGTCTGTGTTGTTCCATAATGAAACAAAAATTAAGTTGTATAAAAGCAAGGTTTTTGAAATGAACAAGACTGCCCCCTGGAATGTGTATTTCATGTCATACTCTATGTATTATGTTTAAGATGTAAGATTTTTCTGCTTACTCACAACAAAAAATTGGCAAAAGGTTGTGAACAACAGCAAATGTGCCTTTAAGCTCTTTCACATTTCTATGTTCCACCATTTGAACTCAAAGGGAGCTCGGCGGACATTAGATCCGCAGTGCACTTCTCCGTGTTTTTTGTGGTAAGAGGCAAAATCATCTATGAAAGTGCAGCTCAGGCCCAGGCCCCCCATCAGAGAGACCATCTCCTGCTCCAGGGCACACGTCCCATTCACTTTCGGCCCAAACGGCTTCGGGATGCCCAGGTGTTTCCCCAGGACAATCATGTTCACCTGAAACAGAATGTAAGCTTTAAGCCAGTATCATTCACAAACTGTTCGAAGATCAACATAACTACAGTATTATATATTGGTATTATCCATGCTTCTTCATTATACTGCTTTTTAATATGTTATGCTTATTTATTTATTAGCTTAAGTCAGAGATATTATACTTTATTCTTGCTTCATTATGCTAAGGAGGGAGAATTATACTTGCTTCCTTACTGCACTAAAATTAGAGATTTAATCATATTTTAGTAAAGTTATTGTTAATTTATATTGCCCACTGTAGGAGAAATAAAAGGCCTCTTATTGTACAAATTGTGTGTATGCAGGGAAATAAAAAAAAAGATTAAAGCTGAGGTACCTGACTTATTCCCCTTAAATAACACAAGGTCCAAACGGGAAGAGTTTTGTAAATGTGAAATGCAGAGTCAAATAGGACCACTGTATACTGTTTACATCGTATTCAATTCATTTTTTTTAACAGCCCGAAATCCCAACAGCAGTCATGATGACTTTACAATGTTGTTGATTCACAAATATCATGGAATAAAACAGTTCAAACACTGGAAATGCAGTAATAACAAACACATCCATGAGTGGATGATCAATCTTCATAAATGTTGATATTTGGTCTCAAATGTCCAGGATCATCACAGTCCTTAGACCCTTCTGTGTCTGCAAAGAATGACTAAAAAACCCACTGATCCATCTATCTCCCTCTCTATCTAACGATATCTATCTATAAATCTATCTACCGATCTCTATCTATCTATCTATCTATCTATCTACCCATCTACCTAGCTACCTTCCCATCCATCCATCTATCAATCCATCTAAATATCTATCTACTGTATCTACCTATCTCTATCTATCTATATCTAGCTATCTATCATTGAAAGATGGATCCTATAACTAAACATCTTGCGTATGTGTGTGCCCTGTGGGTTGCAATTAGACACTTTAGTCAGGTGCCCCAGCTGTAACTGCATCTGATGAACTTACCATGTCCGGGTAATAGGCCAGGGCTCTGTACTGATCATTGTCGTCAACAAGTTTAAACAGAATGGGCAGATCAATAATGTCCTCATCCTCCAAACCCAGCTCTTTCTTCAGCACGTCTCTGTTCCAGTCAATGCAGCTCTGGAAGAACACCAAGAAAAAAATATTACCATTAAACTGCACTTAAAAGGCTCATTTAGAAGAAACTTGTTTTCACCTGAACGTAATTATTTTCGGCTTCAAATTGTTTATCAGCCAATATTTCATTCACTGATATCGGCGTTTCGTCTGGAATATCTTTGTCAATACAAATACAATTTAATGTGAGATTAAATGCAACAGGGTATGGAATTAGATTAAGAGTAACAGAAATTACATACATTTACATACATATACATACAGTACACAGACATACATACATACATACAGTACATACATACATAGATAGATAGATACATACATACTGTACATAGATATACACACATAAATACAAACATACTGTATTATGTCAGTTACCTCTCCAAATACAGTCTTTGTGTAACTTTACTGTAGTTTTTACTGTAAATGGCTGTACAGGTCGTGTATAGTGTGCTCATAGTCGTGCTCAAGTGTCACCAAGATCTGACTTTTTTGCTTTGAAAACACAGAGTAAACTTTCACAATGAAAACATGACTAATAACCATTTGACTGTGTTGTTCATACTCAATGTTGTTAGGACTTATTATTTTGATAACACAGACAGTTTCATTGACATGAAGACTTGCTTTTGAGGAATTAACTTTTTATTTTGAGAAGGTGATGCACTTTTGCCAGTTATCCACGAGGTTTTGCAGTTTGCAATAGTTGTTCTGAGAAAGGCATTAACTGTTGTGCAAATGCGAAGAATGATGTGAAAAATGCACCAAAGCGAAAAAGGAGCAGTATGTAAAAAATCTGGCCAAAAGTGGTACTTCACTCTCCCTGACTCAGGTTGCCAGATATGCAGACGACTCCAGCTAGGACCATAATTTCTAAATAAAGAGTTTTGTCTACAACAATCTATAACCAACACTTTTTAACAAAGATGAAAATCCTGGTTTTATTATTGTTTTGTCATTAATGATTTGAGAATAATAACGAAACCTTTTTTAGTTCTGCGACCACATGGTACTTTACCAGTGAGATCATCTTGACGCAGTGAGTTCTGGCAACCTGGATCACGGACTTTTCTGATTGGTAAAACTGTGGAGGGCGCGACATCGAAATTAAAACAACAACAAGATTTACGGGCTGTAAAACCGATTTTGAAATCCAAATATCTCTGCTGAAAAGAGCATGTTTTATTAATGCCTTTTGACAGATTAGGGCCATTTGATTTGACATGAAAATCTTATATATTGCTTATTTAACGATTAAGAGATAAAATTAAAAGTGTGAAAAAACATACCCTCAAACAGTTTGGCTTCACCATAACCATCGTTCTGCAGTTTTTTGAATAGTTTGTACCCTGCATCTGGACTGGCCAGCAGCAGGCGGAATCCCTGTAGTGGTCACAGTGGTGAACATTGTGATAATATTACAGTTATTGTATGAGAAATGAAATAAAATAATGATATATTTACCTTTCTGTCCTTGGCGGGAACAAAGGACATAAACTCATCGACATGACCCACTTCAAGCCAGTCAGAATATAAAGCTACAGGCTCTTGGACAGTCTGGGCCCACAGGAAGTCCTGGACTACCTGAGTCATGTTTCGTCCTTTAGATGCCCTTTGACGAAACGAAAAAGATTAACTGGTTTGAGTATGTTGGTCTACTAACAGATTATTCATCATATTTTAATTCTGAGGTACCCAATTTTATTTTGTAATACATACAGTAATTGTTTGACTTTAAAACAGCTCTGCTTGTTACAAGTTTCTCCATGGCCTCGCACCAAAATATATTAGTGACATGTTAGTCCCATATGAACCAGCCCGGACTCTGAGGAGCACAGGGACTGGACTCCTGCTGGTACCCAGAGTCAGAACTAAACATGGGGAGGCTGCATTTCAGATTCATGCAGCTAAAATCTGGAACAATCTTCCTGAAGATGTGAGACAGGCCTCCTCTCTGACAATGTTGGGCTTTTTCTCACTTTTCTGTCTGCAAAAGTTGAACTAAAGATGTGACAGTGGTTCTATTACTGTGTAAGTAATTAATCTTTATTCATAGCGCCTTTTTACGATTGTTATTTTTTGGGCATTTGTCTCTTACTCCACATAGAGATGGGAGCGGGGTCACCAGTACAGGAGGCGCATGCCGGACCTAATGTACATGTTTTTAGTGGTAGGGGAAAGCGGAGCACTCGGAGGAAACCTACGCACACACAGGGAGAACATGCAAACGCCACCGTGTTTCGAACTCAGGACCTTCTAGAGCGGCAGAAACTCAATCATTCTTTTTCTAGGGCTTCGGGCAATGTGAGGTTAAGTGTCTTGCCCAAGGACACAACGACAGCAGACATCAGTGGGAACAGTTGGAGTAGTTGTGGTTTTAACGTTGCAGGACAGTGGCTTTGATGCAGGACACTCAACAGCATTTATGACTTCTATTAACATTTATAGAAATTGGTCATCTGCCCCTTTGGACCAATAGCTCTATGTATTTCAGCGATAAGTGCTTACGTAGGAAAGGCGACTCCGATGATAATTCTGCCCAGGGGATAATCCTTTCCATTGACGGTGACAGGAGGACTTACTTCAAGATTTCCGAAAGAGTCCAAGCTACTCACATCTTTCCGGTGTGGCACTCTTGTCACATAACCAAAATCTGGGCCCTGCGGATGGGAACAGTGAATGGACAAAATAGGTAAGGAAACTATTTCAAAGTCTATTGTAAAGATAATTTAGTTTGTCTTCACCAAAAGCACGTGATACGGAAAGTCATTGAGTTCTCGATCTCTGGGAGAATCCAAAACGACTGGAAAGGAGTGATGTGGAGAATCGATATAGCCGAACTCCAGCTCATCCTACAAAAGAATGTGTTTCTGAAGTAGTAAATGTAAAGTGACAGCAGACTCCACCTCCTCGTACCTGTATCCAGCGATCTCCCCGATTCATAGACTCGTAGCAAATGTTCAGTTTAGAACCGCTGCGCTCTACAAGCCTCTTCATGTCCTTCAGGAATTTATAGTTATCCTTTGTGCTGGAGGAGACAACCCACATGTAATTAGGCTAAAAACTGTGTAATAAAATACAAAAACAAACATCTAGTTACATAATCATAAACATTGATGAAACATTTTCTCTCTTTCATTTTTGTCATGTTTATAATATAATAACTTATTTAAGTAATTAATAATTATTATACTATATATAATATATTCAGCAATATTCTATCTGCAAACTGACTTAAACAATCCGAACAGAGCTGTACATCTGTTGAATGAATAGTAAATTTGATTAATTCTATATCTGTCATGCATTTATGTATTTATCTCCAGTAGGTTAGTCTACTGTAACGGCGTGCTCTCAGGTCTCTCTAAACCAACAGTAAAACAGCTGCAGTACTTTCAAAACGCTGCTGCTCGAGTCCTGACTAGAACCAGGAAGTACAATCACATCAGTCCAGTTCTCAGGTCTCTGCACTGGCTTCCTGTGGCTCAGAGCAAACAGGGCTGGCCTCCAAGAGTAAGGACTAAACATGGGGAGGCAGCATTTCAGAGTTATGCAGCTATCATCTGGAACAGTCTTCCTGAAAATGTGAGAAAGGCTTCAATTCTGACAATGTTCAAATCTTGGTTAAAACAGTTCTGTTTAGCGGTGCATACACCTGAAGGCTTGTATCTTCGCCTTTGTTAATGTACTGTGATCCATCCATCCATCCATTTTCTACCCTTTAGTCCATTTCTGGGTCAGGGGGGTGGCAATCAGAGATGCCACCCAAGTCTCATAGCACCAGCCCCTCACTGACCCTCTGCAGGTGGTGAGTCCACAGGAGGATGTACTGTGATAATGTATTATATTCATGCCTTGTGTGGTTGTTTCTACTTTTGGGTTGCCTTGTGTATGAATTGTGCAATACAAATAAACTTGCCTTGCCATATGGCTTCTTCTTAATATAAAATGTTTTATCTTTTGAAAACATGTACGAAAGTCACAATTTGATGATTTGGGCTGAGAGTGACCGAGTGAAGATGGTTCTCTGTTTTTAACTTTCCTTGTCTGGAAAAGCTGATCTAAAGATATGACAGTGGCCAAAAACACATGCATGTTCCAATGGTGGTGTTTTGACAGCAAGGAACTAATATATGGTGTAATTTCAATGTTAGTTGCCCCAGCTATAAGAGCCCTAAAATGTTGACTCATATCTTGTTATAGTGTCTTAGTTCATCATTAATTCATCTTTCACCTGCACACAAACACCTCCAGCGGCCGGAGGGTGTTGGGTGTCATGATCCACGGAGCCACTCTGAACATCACAGTGTCTGTAAAGATCGGAGTTTCCGGAATTCCCTTGAAAACACATGTGAACCTAATCAAACCTGTTATCCCTGGTCAATAATACAAAAATATATAAGTTCTTACTTCACAGATTGGTTCTAATAAACTGAGGTGGATACGGATTACACCATCAAAGTTTTTGTCAGGAAATGCTATTCCCTCCACAAACAATTTGATCTCCTCATCTCCCATGTATGGGATTTCGCAGCTGAGCGCTGCACTGGACAGCACTTGTGGATAGTGAGATCCTAAACAAGTCAAACAAAAAATGTCAAAACAGAAAAATACATTCACAACAAAAAGTAATGAAAAATCCTCAAATTTGGCAAAATGTATTTAAATTTGAGCATGTTTCTGACTGCCTTAAAACAAGATTACTATTTGGACAAGAAAAACATACAACAAATGTCTTGGAATGGGCTCTATTCATGCACCACTTCCGCGTTTTAGCTAAAGCCCCACCTCACTTCCGGTTCGCGGGAAATGGCTTGAGTTTCACTGGAGTTCAGCAGTGGTTTACACGAGTTTCCCAAATAATGCTCAAACGGAAATTATACTATGAGGTAACTGGGCATTTTTGGGACACAGCAGTGCTCTTTGATTGTGCTGTCATTTTGTTTTTATAAAGTTTACAAATCGCTCTGAGTGGCCTCAGTCCAAGCTCTAACTCAGAGAGAAAGCCCAGTGACACTTTTGGGTCAGTCTCACAGCTGACTGTATCGATCTAATTACTAAAAAACGTCACTAAAACCCACCTAAAAGCCATAGGAAAGTGTAAGGTTAAATAAGGGACAGGGTCGGACAACAGAGCCAGGCCCTGAGCTGTGTAAACAGTCAACCAAAAGGAGGGAGACATCCCACTGCTACTTCAAAGGAACAGCGAGGTCACCGGAGGACTGCCATTGATCACGGAGATAACAGGCGTCAAACAGAGCAATAAAGTCACCATGGGAATAAACACCTCTGTCTCTGCCTGCCTGTAGAGATCAAAGATCACAACTCTGCTCTCCCCCCCCCTTCCTGTCCCTGGACAATCAACGACTCACCCACGGCGTTATGGCGCCCCCCGGCGGATACCGGACACTATCACACCCGAGGCGGACACTCGAAACAGACATTCCCCGATGACATTATGTTGATAACCGTTACGGACACTACTCGTATGTGGCGTTGTCTGTGATGTGAATGCACTGTGTATCGGTATATGATTATGAACGATAGAATGTCTATATGTGTTGTGTTTTGCCTGTGTGAACATGCCGGCTCAAAGGGGGCGTCCAAAGACGACGTCACGGACGCGCCCACTTTGACCACAACAAAACCAAAGCGCGGACTTACAGACTTCCTCTTGGTTTCCCCGAAATCACTCTTGCAACCATCCTTTTTGGTACGTGTCCCCTACACGGCCTACGCCCGCCACCATCTCGGGCCTGTACATCCACGAGGACAGCAACCACTCTCGCTGTCGGAGACGAGGGCCTTCCATCGCCAGCCACTTTCGGGCTCCCTGGAACACCCCACCAGGTGGTCTATTCTAGACCGTGTTGTGTGTGGAATCCACGCCTGGATCCGATCTGCTGGCTTCCTCCTGCTCCCTGTTCGAACAAAGACCACGTGGACGAGGACATCGCCTCCATCCTATTCTTCATTCTCATCCTCCCATCTCCATTCTCCATTCTCCTCTTTTCATCACCATCTCCCTCGAACGGCTCAAAGTAAGACTGTTCTTTTGTTGGAGTGTGATTCAAATGGGATGTATGCAACTTCTGTTTAATGTGACTAGAAATCCCCTTCGTTATATGTTCCATCTTTAATTTTTGTAGTCAATAAATTCACGTTAACTTTAACTCAATCATTTAAGCGTCGTGTTGTTAAATTTTGGGTATCCCTGGCCGATTTTCGCACTCAACCCATCAGATTTGTGATACTGGTATCGAGGCAAATATCCCTGGGTCTGTCGTAGACCCTCAAACGTCTACTGGTGCCCAAAATAAATAAGACAGATCCATTGGTGGAACGGCGAGTTTCTGATCCGGAGACTAGCCGCTCCACACTACTAAATTTAAGCTACCCTACATATTATTACCCTACAAAAGCATAGTCAGGAAGTGAAAGGGCTGTCCTTTGTTAACCGGAAATGACGTCACGCCTCCCCGTGCATATAGCCCATTGAGAAAATAAAGCAACAGTTCTTGAAATAAGACTAAATGGCTTTGTCCAATTGGCAAATCTTATTTTAAGACACTAAAAATGTACTCAAATAGACAAAAACACGTTATTCAAACAGTTACTACCTCATTTGTTTTAATTATTTTTTGCAATGTTTGCACTGAACAAAACATGACGTTTCTTACCACTAGCTGCTAGGAAGACTCTGATTTTCTCTGCGTCACTTTGGCAGATGTGCAGGATGAGTTTGTAACCCTCTGGAAGCTTGGCAGGGCCTTTAGTTCTCAGCATCATTGGAGACATGTCCTTAACATCTGCAGAAGAAGAACTATTCAAACACTTTTCTTCTCTTACAGGTTGACTGAAAACGTCTTAAGTTTTCAGTCAGATTTGTTTGGAAATAGATTTCCAAACAAATCTATTTTTGTTTGGAAAACAACATTTTAAAACAAAAATAGATTTTAGCTTGTAGCCTCTCCTCGATCATGCTGGTAAAAAAATCATATGTCCAAAACGTCTCTAGACTGCGCCCTCCCACCATAGCCCTTTTTAATCCTGTAACCTAAATTGAATTGAATTATCAAAAATGAATGCAAAATGATCTTAAACAAATCAATTCAGAAAAATATAATTACTAAATTGGATTTTCATTTTAAAAAACAAAAATTAGACAGATAGCTAACACACACTTTTCAGACAAGACCATTCACGGCCCACATTTTACCCGAAGACAGAATAACGTGGTCTCTTTCGCTGTCCGGTCTCTTCCTATTCACAGACTCTGAGTCACAGTTGACCAGTAGGATTGCTCCATGACCACGTGGACCCCATTTCCAAGAATCCTAGTTTATCGTTTGAAATATTAATGAATACAGTGTTATTTTGAATAAATGCAGAAGTTATTAAATGTATTTCCTTTTATCCAAACCTTATCAGGGTTGTTCTTCTCCACTACACCATCTCTGTCCGCATCCACATCCAGGCAGATTTCTGTGCAACAACAGGAGTTGGTCACGGCCCCGGCCAGTACTAATACATGTGTATAAATGGTGTATTCAATCGTACCGACTGCGGTGAAGTGCAGAACTGCTTTGTCCAAGACATTCTTGTCAGTGTCATAATACCGGACTGAAAGCTAAACAGGGCAACATATGAGATCATAAAAGCATCCACACAAGCAATCCAATAGTGCAGTTGTTCAAATGATTGTGGGTCCTATTATAATGAGTCTGACCCCAAAGGCCAACTGCATTTGATGACCTCTGAAATACAGTTTAATTTACCTTGTTGTCATTTTCATGGTCACTCGCTTCTTTCATAGAGATGAGCAGGACAGAGTTGTCTGTGAGAGGCACAGGACTCAGGTGGGAGGTCTCCTCAGGCCGAGGACTGATGAGGTACTGAACATTGTGGGTGCATTTCACAGAGAAATATTTAGTTGTAGGAGGAGCGCTCCTGCATTGAAAGAAGAAATTACAGTGTTTGTGGTGCAAATAGACTCAAAACCAGTTTCATGAGATTAGAATCAGTAAACATAGCTTCACTCTTCGTAGTTCAGAAGCAGTTTAGTCAAAGCACACAACTTTTACTTCAAACTGTAACATTAGTCATAAGGATTGTGCAGTCCCTTGTATCTGGCGATACGGTGCATATCACAATATATACAAATATAAAGCGATTATTGTATACTTTTTATTGAGAACAAAACTCCAACAAGATGCTGCTGTGTATTTATTGTTTTTAAAAAATATATCCTATCATTATTGAATCTGTGTGAAGGGGGATTATCTTTTAATATTTTAGTTAGTGTGTGTGAGTGTTTTTTGTGTGTGTTATAATAGTGTTATCATAGATAAAGTAGTTTAAGTTATTTTTATTGGATGACATTTATGTGAAAAATTCTGCTATAATGAATTACAAAATGAAATAAGGAGAACAGATAAAGACAATGTCGGGAAATATGTGTGCAAAAAGAGTATAAATTGCACTACATTGGCACATAAATAGTTAATTCACAATGGAATATGCATAATCAGAATCAGAATGGATTTTATTGCCCATTTGAGTAACAGGAAGCAAACAAAGAAATTGCTTTGGCTCTTTGTGAAAACAAGTATTATATAAAAATAGAATAAATTAAACAATCATTCTAACACCTTGTCGCCTAAACCACTTTGTGAGTTGACTAGGGAAAAGTACGAGGTGGTCAGCGTATGATACACAGAGCTAGTAACCCGAACAGGTAACTTTGTGCCTCACAGGTTCTATCCCAGACTTGAAGCGTATAGGACTTTCCACTTTCCTGCTTCGACATTTACAAAGATTCTTTAAAATATAATGGATGTGTTTGGTTTTCAAGAAAAACTATGAATAACATATCATATAACATAAATATTTATAAGAAATCGATCCTCTATGATTTACCAAACCGTTATGTGGTTTGAGGATGTGTGTGTGGATTAATGGCAGTGTCGGACCCAGAGCACGATTGATGAATGGCATGTTGTGCTACTGGGCAATTCAGAGGACTATCATTCAGTCTAGCTTGAAGACATTACGCGTGTAGTCTACTTTATAATACTTAACACTGCAACCAATATAAACATGAATCCACAGTAACTAAGAGGTACTTATAAACTTTTATGTAATTGATAGTTCAACAATTGTTTTAGTTATATTTGTTAGTTTATTAGTTGTATGGCAGCCTAAGTCCATGGTTTAATTTATTCTATTTTTGATATAATATTTTTGTTTCATCACAAAGAGGCCAAAAGAAACAATTTGCCTTTGTTTGCTGCACTGTACTCAAATGGCAATGATATATCCATTCTGATTCTGATTATGCCTATTTTCCATTGTGAGTTAACGTATGAAATGTGCCATTGTGAGTACAAATTTATTACTCTTTTTTGCAAACATATTTCCCGACATTGGTCCTTTATCTTTCTCCAGTTCATTTTGGTAATTCAGAGTTGATTATAAAAGCAGAAATGGTTTCACATAAATGCTGTCATTCCAATAAAATATATTTACTTAATACTACTTTAGTCTATGATAAACTACTAGTATAACTCACTACATATACACGCACACACTCAACTAACGAAAATATTAAAATGATTACTCCCCCTTTCACACTCGATTCATACGAAGTAAATGTTAGGTTATATTTTTTTAAAAACTAGAATATAACATACAGCAGCAGCATCGGGTTGGAGTTGTGGTGTTCATCGAAGTAAAAAAGCTATTACAATTTATCGCTTTATATTTGTATATATATTGTGTTATGCAACGGATCGCCAGATACATGGGACTGCTCATATCCTTAGTGACTAAATGTTACACGTTTGAAAGTAAAAAGTGGTGTCTGCTTTGACTAACACTGCTTCTGAACGATTCGAAGGAGTGAAGCTACTGATTTCTGTATTCTAATCTCTGCATGAAACTGGGGTTTTTGCGATACTATTTGCACCACAAACTCACTGTTAATTGCTTATCGGTCATATGCAGTGAGCGCGCCTCCTTCTACTAAATTTGTCTCTGTGATTTGCACCCACAAATGTTCAGTTCCTCTTCAGTTCCTCATGGGCCTGAGAGGTAGACGCCCACCTGAGGTCCTGTGCCACTCAACTCACAGACAATTCTCTGTCAGGTCCTGCTCTCTCTGAGAGAAGATGAGTGAACCCTATGTAGAATGACAACAAGGTTAAATTAAACGTGTAGTTTCAGGAGGTTCATCACTATGCAGTTGGCCTTTGGGGGTCAGACTCATTAATATTAGGGACCTCACTATCATTTGATGCAACTGCACTCTACTGGATTTGCGTGTAGTGGGTGGCTTTTATGAGCTCAGTATGTTTTTCCCTGGTTGTTAGCTGTTCTGTCCCCGGTTTTATGACTAGACTGACAAGAAGTGTCTTGGACACAAAGCTGTTCTGCACTGTCAAACCGCATGTCGGTTCGTATTGAATACACCATTTATACACATGTAAGTAGTACTGGGCCGGGGCCCGAGTCCTACGCCCTGTTGTTGCACAGAAAATCTGCCTGGATGTGGATGCGGACAGAGATGGTGTAGTGGAGAAGAACAACCCTGATAAGGTTTGGATAAAAGGAAATACATTTAATAACTTCTGCATTTATTCAAAATAACACTGTATTTCATTAATATTTCAAAACGATAAAACTAGGATTCTTGGAAATGGGGTCCCACGTGGTCATGGAGCAATCCTACTGGTCAACTGTGACTCAGAGTCTGTGAATAGGAAGAGACCGGACAGCGAAAGAGACCACGTTATTCTGTCTTCGGGTAAAAATGTGGGCCGTGAATGGTCTTGTCTGAAAAGTGTGTGTTAGCTATCTGTCTAATTTTTGTTTTTTAAAATGAAAATCCAATTTAGTAATTATATTTTTCTGAATTGATTTGTTTAAGATCATGTGTGACTTTCATTTTTGATAAATTCATTTCTAATTGTTGGGTACTGGGATTTAATAAGGCTATGGTGGAGGGCGCAGTCTTGAGAACGTTTTTGGACAGCTGATTTTGTTAACCAGCCTGATCGGAGGAGAGGCCTACAAGCTAAAAATCTAGTTTTGTTTTATAAGGTTGTTTTCCAAAACATAATAGAGATGTTGTTAGGATATTCATCTTGTCCAAGACTAATCGTGAACTGAAAACTTAAGACGTTTTCAGTCAACCTGTAGAGATGAAATAGTGGTGTGATTAGTTCGTCTTCGGCAGTGGTAGGTTAGGACATGGCTCCCAATGATGCTGAGATCCTAAAGGCCCTGCCGAGCTTGCCAGAGGGGTTGGGCGTTACAAACTCTGCCTGCACACTCGGCCAATTAGTGTCGCAGTGAATATCAGAGTCCTTTCCTGAAGCTGCTAGTGGTAAGAAAACGTCATGTTTGTTGTTCAGTGCGAAACCTTGTCAAAAAATAATTAAAACAAATGAGGTAGTAACTGTTTGAATAACGTGTTTTTTTGTCTATTTGAGTACATTTTTTGTGTCTTAAAATAAGATTTGCCAATTGGACAAAGCCATTTAGTCTTATTTCAAGAAACTGTTGCTTTATTTTCTCAATGGGCTATATGCACGGGGAGGCGTGACGTCATTTCCGGTTAACAAAGGACAGCCCTTTCACTTCCTGACTATGCTTTTGTAGGGTAATAATATGTAGGGTAGCTTAAATTTAGTAGTGTGGAGCGGCGTAAGTCTCGGATCAGAAACTCGCCGTTCCACCAATGGATCTGTCTTATTTATTTTGGGCACCAGTTAAGACGTTTGAGGGTCTAACGACAGACCCAGGGATTATTTGCCTCGATACCAGTATCACAAATCTGATGGGTTGAGTGCGAAAATCGGCCAGGGATACCCAAAATTTCTAACAACACGACGCTTAAATGATTGAGTTAAAGTTAACGTGAATTTATTGACTACAAAAATTAAAGATGGAACATATAACGAAGGGGATTTCTGGTCACATTAAACAGAAGTTGCATACATCCCATTTGAATCACACTCCAACAAAAGAACAGTCTTACTTTGAGCCGTTCGAGGGAGATGGTGATGAAAAGAGGAGAATGGAGAATGGAGATGGGAGGATGAGAATGAAGAATAGGATGGAGGTGATGTCCTCGTCCACGTGGTCTTTGTTCGAACAGGGAGCAGGAGGAAGCCAGCAGATCGGATCCAGGCGTGGATTCCACACACAACACGGTCTAGAATAGACCACCTGGTGGGGTGTTCCAGGGAGCCCGAAAGTGGCTGGCGATGGAAGGCCCTCGTCTCCGACAGCGAGAGTGGTTGCTGTCCTCGTGGATGTACAGGCCCGAGATGGTGGCGGGCGTAGGCCGTGTAGGGGACACGTACCAAAAAGGATGGTTGCAAGAGTGATTTCGGGGAAACCAAGAGGAAGTCTGTAAGTCCGCGCTTTGGTTTTGTTGTGGTCAAAGTGGGCGCGTCCGTGACGTCGTCTTTGGACGCCCCCTTTGAGCCGGCATGTTCACACAGGCAAAACACAACACATATAGACATTCTATCGTTCATAATCATATACCGATACACAGTGCATTCACATCACAGACAACGCCACATACGAGTAGTGTCCGTAACGGTTATCAACATAATGTCATCGGGGAATGTCTGTTTCGAGTGTCCGCCTCGGGTGTGATAGTGTCCGGTATCCGCCGGGGGGCGCCATAACGCCGTGGGTGAGTCGTTGATTGTCCAGGGACAGGAAGGGGGGGGGAGAGCAGAGTTGTGATCTTTGATCTCTACAGGCAGGCAGAGACAGAGGTGTTTATTCCCATGGTGACTTTATTGCTCTGTTTGACGCCTGTTATCTCCGTGATCAATGGCAGTCCTCCGGTGACCTCGCTGTTCCTTTGAAGTAGCAGTGGGATGTCTCCCTCCTTTTGGTTGACTGTTTACACAGCTCAGGGCCTGGCTCTGTTGTCCGACCCTGTCCCTTATTTAACCTTACACTTTCCTATGGCTTTTAGGTGGGTTTTAGTGACGTTTTTTAGTAATTAGATCGATACAGTCAGCTGTGAGACTGACCCAAAAGTGTCACTGGGCTTTCTCTCTGAGTTAGAGCTTGGACTGAGGCCACTCAGAGCGATTTGTAAACTTTATAAAAACACAATGACAGCACAATCAAAGAGCACTGCTGTGTCCCAAAAATGCCCAGTTACCTCATAGTATAATTTCCGTTTGAGCATTATTTGGGAAACTCGTGTAAACCACTGCTGAACTCCAGTGAAACTCAAGCCATTTCCCGCGAACCGGAAGTGAGGTGGGGCTTTAGCTAAAACGCGGAAGTGGTGCATGAATAGAGCCCATTCCAAGACATTTGTTGTATGTTTTTCTTGTCCAAATAGTAATCTTGTTTTAAGGCAGTCAGAAACATGCTCAAATTTAAATACATTTTGCCAAATTTGAGGATTTTTCATTACTTTTTGCTGTGAATGTATTTTTCTGTTTTGACATTTTTTGTTTGACTTGTTTAGGATCTCACTATCCACAAGTGCTGTCCAGTGCAGCGCTCAGCTGCGAAATCCCATACATGGGAGATGAGGAGATCAAATTGTTTGTGGAAGGAATAGCATTTCCTGACAAAAACTTTGATGGTGTAATCCGTATCCACCTCAGTTTATTAGAACCAATCTGTGAAGTAAGAACTGATATATTTTTGTATTATTGACCAGGGATAACAGGTTTGATTAGGTTCACATGTGTTTTCAAGGGAATTCCGGAAACTCCGATCTTTACAGACACTGTGATGTTCAGAGTGGCTCCGTGGATCATGACACCCAACACCCTCCGGCCGCTGGAGGTGTTTGTGTGCAGGTGAAAGATGAATTAATGATGAACTAAGACACTATAACAAGATATGAGTCAACATTTTAGGGCTCTTATAGCTGGGGCAACTAACATTGAAATTACACCATATATTAGTTCCTTGCTGTCAAAACACCACCATTGGAACATGCATGTGTTTTTGGCCACTGTCATATCTTTAGATCAGCTTTTCCAGACAAGGAAAGTTAAAAACAGAGAACCATCTTCACTCGGTCACTCTCAGCCCAAATCATCAAATTGTGACTTTCGTACATGTTTTCAAAAGATAAAACATTTTATATTAAGAAGAAGCCATATGGCAAGGCAAGTTTATTTGTATTGCACAATTCATACACAAGGCAACCCAAAAGTAGAAACAACCACACAAGGCATGAATATAATACATTATCACAGTACATCCTCCTGTGGACTCACCACCTGCAGAGGGTCAGTGAGGGGCTGGTGCTATGAGACTTGGGTGGCATCTCTGATTGCCACCCCCCTGACCCAGAAATGGACTAAAGGGTAGAAAATGGATGGATGGATGGATCACAGTACATTAACAAAGGCGAAGATACAAGCCTTCAGGTGTATGCACCGCTAAACAGAACTGTTTTAACCAAGATTTGAACATTGTCAGAATTGAAGCCTTTCTCACATTTTCAGGAAGACTGTTCCAGATGATAGCTGCATAACTCTGAAATGCTGCCTCCCCATGTTTAGTCCTTACTCTTGGAGGCCAGCCCTGTTTGCTCTGAGCCACAGGAAGCCAGTGCAGAGACCTGAGAACTGGACTGATGTGATTGTACTTCCTGGTTCTAGTCAGGACTCGAGCAGCAGCGTTTTGAAAGTACTGCAGCTGTTTTACTGTTGGTTTAGAGAGACCTGAGAGCACGCCGTTACAGTAGACTAACCTACTGGAGATAAATACATAAATGCATGACAGATATAGAATTAATCAAATTTACTATTCATTCAACAGATGTACAGCTCTGTTCGGATTGTTTAAGTCAGTTTGCAGATAGAATATTGCTGAATATATTATATATAGTATAATAATTATTAATTACTTAAATAAGTTATTATATTATAAACATGACAAAAATGAAAGAGAGAAAATGTTTCATCAATGTTTATGATTATGTAACTAGATGTTTGTTTTTGTATTTTATTACACAGTTTTTAGCCTAATTACATGTGGGTTGTCTCCTCCAGCACAAAGGATAACTATAAATTCCTGAAGGACATGAAGAGGCTTGTAGAGCGCAGCGGTTCTAAACTGAACATTTGCTACGAGTCTATGAATCGGGGAGATCGCTGGATACAGGTACGAGGAGGTGGAGTCTGCTGTCACTTTACATTTACTACTTCAGAAACACATTCTTTTGTAGGATGAGCTGGAGTTCGGCTATATCGATTCTCCACATCACTCCTTTCCAGTCGTTTTGGATTCTCCCAGAGATCGAGAACTCAATGACTTTCCGTATCACGTGCTTTTGGTGAAGACAAACTAAATTATCTTTACAATAGACTTTGAAATAGTTTCCTTACCTATTTTGTCCATTCACTGTTCCCATCCGCAGGGCCCAGATTTTGGTTATGTGACAAGAGTGCCACACCGGAAAGATGTGAGTAGCTTGGACTCTTTCGGAAATCTTGAAGTAAGTCCTCCTGTCACCGTCAATGGAAAGGATTATCCCCTGGGCAGAATTATCATCGGAGTCGCCTTTCCTACGTAAGCACTTATCGCTGAAATACATAGAGCTATTGGTCCAAAGGGGCAGATGACCAATTTCTATAAATGTTAATAGAAGTCATAAATGCTGTTGAGTGTCCTGCATCAAAGCCACTGTCCTGCAACGTTAAAACCACAACTACTCCAACTGTTCCCACTGATGTCTGCTGTCGTTGTGTCCTTGGGCAAGACACTTAACCTCACATTGCCCGAAGCCCTAGAAAAAGAATGATTGAGTTTCTGCCGCTCTAGAAGGTCCTGAGTTCGAAACACGGTGGCGTTTGCATGTTCTCCCTGTGTGTGCGTAGGTTTCCTCCGAGTGCTCCGCTTTCCCCTACCACTAAAAACATGTACATTAGGTCCGGCATGCGCCTCCTGTACTGGTGACCCCGCTCCCATCTCTATGTGGAGTAAGAGACAAATGCCCAAAAAATAACAATCGTAAAAAGGCGCTATGAATAAAGATTAATTACTTACACAGTAATAGAACCACTGTCACATCTTTAGTTCAACTTTTGCAGACAGAAAAGTGAGAAAAAGCCCAACATTGTCAGAGAGGAGGCCTGTCTCACATCTTCAGGAAGATTGTTCCAGATTTTAGCTGCATGAATCTGAAATGCAGCCTCCCCATGTTTAGTTCTGACTCTGGGTACCAGCAGGAGTCCAGTCCCTGTGCTCCTCAGAGTCCGGGCTGGTTCATATGGGACTAACATGTCACTAATATATTTTGGTGCGAGGCCATGGAGAAACTTGTAACAAGCAGAGCTGTTTTAAAGTCAAAACAATTACTGTATGTATTACAAAATAAAATTGGGTACCTCAGAATTAAAATATGATGAATAATCTGTTAGTAGACCAACATACTCAAACCAGTTAATCTTTTTCGTTTCGTCAAAGGGCATCTAAAGGACGAAACATGACTCAGGTAGTCCAGGACTTCCTGTGGGCCCAGACTGTCCAAGAGCCTGTAGCTTTATATTCTGACTGGCTTGAAGTGGGTCATGTCGATGAGTTTATGTCCTTTGTTCCCGCCAAGGACAGAAAGGTAAATATATCATTATTTTATTTCATTTCTCATACAATAACTGTAATATTATCACAATGTTCACCACTGTGACCACTACAGGGATTCCGCCTGCTGCTGGCCAGTCCAGATGCAGGGTACAAACTATTCAAAAAACTGCAGAACGATGGTTATGGTGAAGCCAAACTGTTTGAGGGTATGTTTTTTCACACTTTTAATTTTATCTCTTAATCGTTAAATAAGCAATATGTAAGATTTTCATGTCAAATCAAATGGCCCTAATCTGTCAAAAGGCATTAATAAAACATGCTCTTTTCAGCAGAGATATTTGGATTTCAAAATCGGTTTTACAGCCCGTAAATCTTGTTGTTTTAATTTCGATGTCGCGCCCTCCACAGTTTTACCAATCAGAAAAGTCCGTGATCCAGGTTGCCAGAACTCACTGCGTCAAGATGATCTCACTGGTAAAGTACCATGTGGTCGCAGAACTAAAAAAGGTTTCGTTATTATTCTCAAATCATTAATGACAAAACAAGAATAAAACCAGGATTTTCATCTTTGTTAAAAAGTGTTGGTTATAGATTGTTGTAGACAAAACTCTTTATTTAGAAATTATGGTCCTAGCTGGAGTCGTCTGCATATCTGGCAACCTGAGTCAGGGAGAGTGAAGTACCACTTTTGGCCAGATTTTTTACATACTGCTCCTTTTTCGCTTTGGTGCATTTTTCACATCATTCTTCGCATTTGCACAACAGTTAGTGCCTTTCTCAGAACAACTAGTGCAAACTGCAAAACCTCGTGGATAACTGGCAAAAGTGCATCACCTTCTCAAAATAAAAAGTTAATTCCTCAAAAGCAAGTCTTCATGTCAATGAAACTGTCTGTGTTATCAAAATAATAAGTCCTAACAACATTGAGTATGAACAACACAGTCAAATGGTTATTAGTCATGTTTTCATTGTGAAAGTTTACTCTGTGTTTTCAAAGCAAAAAAGTCAGATCTTGGTGACACTTGAGCACGACTATGAGCACACTATACACGACCTGTACAGCCATTTACAGTAAAAACTACAGTAAAGTTACACAAAGACTGTATTTGGAGAGGTAACTGACATAATACAGTATGTTTGTATTTATGTGTGTATCTATGTACAGTATGTATGTATCTATCTATCTATGTATGTATGTACTGTATGTATGTATGTATGTCTGTGTACTGTATGTATATGTATGTAAATGTATGTAATTTCTGTTACTCTTAATCTAATTCCATACCCTGTTGCATTTAATCTCACATTAAATTGTATTTGTATTGACAAAGATATTCCAGACGAAACGCCGATATCAGTGAATGAAATATTGGCTGATAAACAATTTGAAGCCGAAAATAATTACGTTCAGGTGAAAACAAGTTTCTTCTAAATGAGCCTTTTAAGTGCAGTTTAATGGTAATATTTTTTTCTTGGTGTTCTTCCAGAGCTGCATTGACTGGAACAGAGACGTGCTGAAGAAAGAGCTGGGTTTGGAGGATGAGGACATTATTGATCTGCCCATTCTGTTTAAACTTGTTGACGACAATGATCAGTACAGAGCCCTGGCCTATTACCCGGACATGGTAAGTTCATCAGATGCAGTTACAGCTGGGGCACCTGACTAAAGTGTCTAATTGCAACCCACAGGGCACACACATACGCAAGATGTTTAGTTATAGGATCCATCTCTCAATGATAGATAGCTAGATATAGATAGATAGAGATAGGTAGATACAGTAGATAGATATTTAGATGGATTGATAGATGGATGGATGGGAAGGTAGCTAGGTAGATGGGTAGATAGATAGATAGATAGATAGATAGAGATCGGTAGATAGATTTATAGATAGATATCGTTAGATAGAGAGGGAGATAGATGGATCAGTGGGTTTTTTAGTCATTCTTTGCAGACACAGAAGGGTCTAAGGACTGTGATGATCCTGGACATTTGAGACCAAATATCAACATTTATGAAGATTGATCATCCACTCATGGATGTGTTTGTTATTATTGCATTTCCAGTGTTTGAACTGTTTTATTCCATGATATTTGTGAATCAACAACATTGTAAAGTCATCATGACTGCTGTTGGGATTTCGGGCTGTTAAAAAAAATGAATTGAATACGATGTAAACAGTATACAGTGGTCCTATTTGACTCTGCATTTCACATTTACAAAACTCTTCCCGTTTGGACCTTGTGTTATTTAAGGGGAATAAGTCAGGTACCTCAGCTTTAATCTTTTTTTTTTATTTCCCTGCATACACACAATTTGTACAATAAGAGGCCTTTTATTTCTCCTACAGTGGGCAATATAAATTAACAATAACTTTACTAAAATATGATTAAATCTCTAATTTTAGTGCAGTAAGGAAGCAAGTATAATTCTCCCTCCTTAGCATAATGAAGCAAGAATAAAGTATAATATCTCTGACTTAAGCTAATAAATAAATAAGCATAACATATTAAAAAGCAGTATAATGAAGAAGCATGGATAATACCAATATATAATACTGTAGTTATGTTGATCTTCGAACAGTTTGTGAATGATACTGGCTTAAAACTTACATTCTGTTTCAGGTGAACATGATTGTCCTGGGGAAACACCTGGGCATCCCGAAGCCGTTTGGGCCGAAAGTGAATGGGACGTGTGCCCTGGAGCAGGAGATGGTCTCTCTGATGGGGGGCCTGGGCCTGAGCTGCACTTTCATAGATGATTTCGCCTCTTACCACAAACAACACGGAGAAGTGCACTGCGGATCTAATGTCCGCCGAGCTCCCTTTGAGTTCAAATGGTGGAACATAGAAATGTGAAAGAGCTTAAAGGCACATTTGCTGTTGTTCACAACCTTTTGCCAATTTTTTGTTGTGAGTAAGCAGAAAAATCTTACATCTTAAACATAATACATAGAGTATGACATGAAATACACATTACAGGGGGCAGTCTTGTTCATTTCAAAAACCTTGCTTTTATACAACTTAATTTTTGTTTCATTATGGAACAACACAGACGAGAAGGATTTACTGGTCGACTCATTTCATTTAACACCACACACAGCTTATTCGCTTCCTCAAGATAATTATTGCTTTAGTCAAGCTGAAATTTGTTGATTCCATCCAAAGGTAATATGTTCTTGAGCTTTCATTCATTTATTCATTCAGTCATTCATTCATTTTCTACCTCGTTATTTTCCATTTCAGAGTCGGGGCACAATATTTCTGATATTTACAACCGTGTATTTTTCCATTTTAGTATAAATAGTTAGCAAATAGCAAAGACTGCAGTTGTTTAAGTCCCTTTAGGAGGGGACCCACAAATTACAAAGACAAGAAATACATTTAAGGAAAATGTTTGTTGATTTTAGTATAATTTAATTCAAAGAAATGTTTTCTTTGAATTGAACAATTGTCTACAGCCATACCTCAAGCAGTTTTGTTTTACTTGTTCTAACTTCCATTGGCAAATCTTTTGTTCTCAAATAATGTTTAAAAAAGTTATTAAACAACTGATTACAAGCATTTTCTCTCTTGTGTGTGTTTTTTTAAGCCCGAGCCCCGAATGGGGTAAGGGCCTATTGCTTTCACAATGGTGAATGCAAGGGGTGGCGGTGCGTGACGGACGCGTCAGCAACGTGACGGTTGCATGCGTAAACTTAAAACGCTTTAAAATGATGCATCACGTGCCATTGAAACCCGTTTTGTTTTTGCTCGAGACGTCAAAAAAATAATCCTTGGTTTATTTATTTATTTATTTATTCTGCCCGAGCCCTTAACGGGGAAAGAGCCTATTGTTTTTGCTTGAGATGTCAAATTCTGCACTTTGAGCCTTAGGCCCTGTCCACACGAAGTCAAGCTCAGGCCTAAACGCAAAAATACTTTATCAATCCAGTGTATCGTCCATACGAGGCCGGCGTTTTGGGGGGGTGTAAACGAACATTTTTTAAACTAGGTCCCAGAGTGGAAAGATTTCAAAACTCCGTATATGCCGCTCCTCTCCTTCCGCCTCCGTCGAGCAAAGACGTGTCTCAGACGCTCCTGCTTCTGAACGGCTTGCTATCTCCAGTTTTTGTCTTTTTCCTGGAGTTTTGCCACAGACAACTTTTAGCAAGAATGGAAATGGTAAATTGGTCCCTCAACGCAATTGATTCTATCTTTTCAACACGTAAGCGTGGGTCTGGAGAGCCCGTGTGCCCGGACGGGACTTCACCAGCGGGGTATACTCTTGACAGCTGGAACAAGTGGCAGCCCCTCTGTCTGTCGACCCTGTCCATTGAAGATTCGGAAGACGTATATATCTTTGGCTTTTTGGTGGTGGGGATCCTCCTGTTTGGGTTTGGAGCGGTTCTATTCTACCATAAATTCGGAGGCATGGCAGTTCGCAAGATTCACGACCTGCTGGCCAACAAAATTGATGGGATGTACAAGGAGCTTAACCGAGTCGTGGTTGAGAGCGCTGTGGCTGGACAAAGAAGAGTGGTTTTGGTGGAACAGTTGATCAGAGATCTCGCAGCTCGTTCACTTGATGGGCATAAAACTCTGGAATTGAGATTGAATGACATTGTTTGTCACGCTTGAACTCTCTGACCCGGCTTGGATTGGCCCCTGTGTACGGGGTTTGAGGGCGCCGCAATTCGGTTTAATTGGATTTAATAGAATATCTGCCTGTTTTTGACTGCTAAAATGCATACAATATTGTCCCTTGTTACAGGAAGATGTGTTTTTCTCCTTGCTGTGTCTTCCCTCCTCTCTTATCTCACATTCCTCGGGCCAAGGCCATCATAATAAATCTGGTCTCTACAACAATTTCACACTCTTTCAGTCAGTTCCAGCTTGGATCCCGCTCCCCCCGCCTCCCTCTGATCTCTCCCTCCCCTCCCCTCCTCACTGTGTTTCCGACTTACCCCCTCCCTGACCCCGCCCCCCTCTGACAGCCACATTGGGCCGGCTGCGGAGGTGCTCATCCCGAGAAAAAAATCCGTGGTTTATACAAAGCACAATGTTTTCTATCCAACTGTCTGTTGTAACCTGTATGTTATTGCTCTCTGCTGTTTATTCTACTGTTGGTCGCATGGCGCCGGAAAAATGGCGCCGTGGCAAGAGCTCTGGTGTGTGTCGTCTCTGTCTGGCGCACACCGGGGTAGTCTTGCACAGTTTTTCCAATGTGGTTTTACTGCAAATGGCAAATAAATGAATCTGAATCTGAATCTGAATCTGGTTACTGCCTCTCCGCAATGTATCTGAGACGCTTGCGTCATCGCCCCGCCTCTTGTTAAAGCACGCATGCGCCGCACTCAGAAAATAATGACAACAACAATGTAGCTTGTTGGTTTTGTAATCCAGTGTGACCCGAAGCAACAGTTCAACCTCATCGTCCGTCCATACTAATGTAGTACCAGCTCGCCCACTCGCCATGTTGTCTGTTTACAAAATTCCGCGCATGCCCACGGAAGTTTGGGCTTGATCCCGTCATTGCGTCACAGCGCCACCAACAGGTCTGGCATAGTTTCACAGCGTTTTCAGGCGTATTGACTACATTCATATGGACGCACACATTTACTGAGCTAACTCCGTGTTTACAGAAAAAGTTTCTGAAATTATAAGCGTTTTGTCTTTGTGTGGATATAGCCTTAATTTGACCCCCTGAACATGCATGAAAAGTTGTTAAATTTTGCCCAAAAATCAGACCTGGCAAAAAAATTTATATTTTGGTGTTTATTTTTATGGGACTCAAAAATTTGCCGGAACAGCGCCACCTACAACAGCCAAAAAAATACCTCTACGGGAGTTCCGAAGGTCGTAGAGCCATGAAATTGGGTACACATGTTCCTCAAGTCAAGACATGAAACATTTTTTATTATGGCCCCGCCCTCTGACAAACAGGAAGCCCATACATTTCACTGCAAAATGGAAAAATGAACAGCAATAATTTTCAAACATGTCAGTTGGAAATCTTCTCCTCGGCCGTTTCACCGATTGGCCTCAAAATTGCTCCACATCTTCTCAACACATGTACCTTCAAAATGACCAAAGGGATTTTTGATCAGTGAAACGTTGTTTGAGCAGTGGAGCGGCAAAATGTGACCTTTTTTCCCCATTTGGCCGTTTTTGACAACAGTAAATGTGTTCCCGTTTGCACAAACAAAGTCTGATTTGCACAAAACTTTAATACATTGTTCAACTCTAGGGTCTATGTCATTTGAAAGTTAAATTATTAAAATTGACGCATTAGCGCCCCCTACAGACTATTTCAAAGTTTTATATGGGCATTTTCAAATTTAGTTTTTTCAAAATGTTTGACATATTGCACATACATCTGTTTTGCCCTCTTCATTCAAAAAGTCAAAAGGGCCCAAGGCTTATTTTTTACCCTGTTGCCGTGGCGACGACAAACGCTCCCCATTCCATGTCAATGGCAAATGTAAACCTCGCACAAACATCAATCCAGCCTCGGCCGTTTCACCGATTTGGCCGAAAAATTGCTCCACATAATCTCAACACATGTACCATCAAAATGACTTCAGGAAATTTTGATCAGTGAAACTTTGTTTGAGCAGCGGAGCGGCAAAATGTGACCTTTTTTCCCCATTTTGACGATAGAAACATAGCTCCCTTTTGCACAAACCAAGTCCGATTTGCACCAAATTTGAATCTGTTGTTCTACTTTTGGGTTTGGGTAAACTGAAAGTGTAAAACATGAATTTGCAGCATTAGCGCCCCCTACGGACTGATTCAAGTTTTATATGGGTGAGAATGGCATTTATTAAGTCTGAGTTGCACTAAACTTGACTTGGTTGTTCAACTTCTGGGCCTAGGTCGCTTGACAGTGGGAACAATGTCATTGTCCCATTAGCGCCCCCTACAGGCTGAGTAAAACTTTTACATAGGGGACACAGCGCATTTAGTTTTTCTGTATCTCATATTTGACCCACTGAGCATGCACAAAAACTCGCCATATTCTTTTATTAGTCCCGAGCCCCGAACGGGGAAAAGGCCTATTGTTTTTGCTCGAGATATGTCAAATTCTGCACTTTGAGCCTTAATTTCACCCCTGAACATGCATGAAAAGTTGTAAAATTTTGCCCAAACATCAGACCTGGTGAAAATTTTGATATTTTGGTGTTTATTTTTAACAGCCAATGGGAGTTTCAGAGGTCAAGTTTGTCGTAGAGCCATGAAATTCGGCACACATGTTCCTCAAGTCAAAATAAGACCAAAATGTTATCATGGCTCCGCCCTCTGACAAACAGGAAGTCCATAAATTTCACTGCAAAATGGAAAAATGATCCGCAATAATTTTCATACATGTCGGTTGGAAATCTTCTCCTCCTCGGCCGTCTCACCGATTTGCCTAAAAATCGCTCCACTTCATCTCAACACATGTACCTTCAAAATTACCAAAAGGATTTTTGATCAGTGAAACGTTGTTTGAGCAGCAGAGTGGCAAAATGTGAGTGTTTTTTGGCCGTTTTTGAACACATTAATTTTGCTCCCGTTTGCACAAAGTCTGATTTGCACAAAACTTGAATCCAATGTTCAACTCCAGGTGAAAGTGAAATATTTGAAATTGGCCCATTAGCGCCCCCTACACATTGAGGCAAAGTTTTACATGGGGTGCCAAACAGCTCTAATCATCATATTCATTACAATTTGACTAACGTTCTTCTATGGCTACGGGAACAAATGATCGCACGGCGGCCCCACCTCCTTTGCACGGTGTTGCGTGGTACGATGTGGTGCGGCGTAGTGCGGGGTGTTGTGGAGCGGCGCGTTGCGGGTTGGTGCGGGGTGGCGTGGTGCAGATCCGCTTGGTGCGG